CTTTTTTCAGATACCGTATTGGAAAGTCCTTAGTGACATAATAATATGTGAGTTGGATGCTTATGATTGGCTGGGGCTATGTTTTAGTTCTAACATAAACATTTATCAGATATGAATCCGAGTTAAGTTTCACTTCTGTTTGCAATTTAAGATACATATTGGCATGCACCTGTAGTCCCAGCTACTTGAGAGGCTAAGGAGATCACTTGATCCTGGGAGGCTGAGGCTGCAGTTGGCCATGATCAAGCCAGGATGAGACAATGAGACCCTGTCCCAAAAAGAAAAAGAAAAAGACACGTAAGAAAAAGAGCACCCCTGTTTCTCAGCTCCCAGAAGCACTTTGTGTTAGGAACTTTACCTCAGTAATATAGATGCAGATTTCAGCAAAGCCATAAAGCCTATCTGACCTAATAGCTTCCTGGAGTTCAATTCAGAGCTCTCTTAGAATGAGTTACTATAGAGCTCTCTTGAGAGTTCCCTAATTAACCTAGCTTTATTCGTTTATTCCATAAATATATTTTGCATACAGACACTGAACTAGCTTAATTTTTTTTTCTTTTTGCTATGACCCCCTATCTAAAGAACTATATTTCCCAGGCATGGTGGCTCATGCCTGTAATCCCAGCACTTTGGGAGGCTGAGGTGGTTGGATTGCCTGAGCCTAAGAGTTCAAGAACAGCTTAGGCAACATGGCAAAACCCTATCTCTACAAAAAAAAGAAAAAGAAAAAATATAGCTCAGTATGGTGGCATGCACCTGTCATCCCAGGTACTTGGGAGGCTGAGGTTGGGGAATCACCTCAGTCTAGGAGGTCAAGCCTGCAGGGAGCTGTGACTACACGACTACACTGTGGCCTGGGCAACAAAGCAAGACGAGGGAGAGGGAGAGAGAGAGAGAAATAGAGAAAAGAAAGAGGGAAAGAGAAGGCTCTGTTGACCTTTGAAAGAATGGATGACCTGTTATAAACCAAATGCTATTCTCCCACCTCAGCCTCCCGTGTAGTTAGGACCACAGGAATGCATCACTGTATCCAGCTAACTTTTCTTTTAATTTGTAGACAGGGTCTAACTATGTTGCCCAGGCTGGTCTTAAACTCCTGGGCTCAAGTGATCCTCCCGCTTTGGGCTCGAGTAATCCTCTCAGCCCTCCCAAAGTGCTGGGGTTACAGGCATGAACCACTGCACCCAGTCAACAGAGTATTCTATATATCAATATATGCAATAGGGCATTTATTTAATATTTTCAAAGATGATTATGATGAGTTCCTGAATTTGAACCAGCCGTTGGTGAGTGCATCCTGTAATACCTTTTGCTTTCTTTTAGCCTAGAGTTAATGTTTTCACATGACATGAAAATAGCATGATCTGGGTAATTCATTTGACAGGTATTTACCTAGGACTGGCAAGTGCTTTTTACTGTTACAAGTATAAGAAGATTATGCCATTATGCTTATAGGTCTTTAAAGGACCTACAACCTAGTCAGAAATAATTTAAAATGGGATTAGATAGTACATAACATGATATCAGTTTACTCAAATTAAAGACCCTACTTTGTCTCTTTTTCTGTTTCTTTACAAGTGCCTTAGATAAAAAGATGTAAGGCATCCTTGTTCAATATCTTGGAGATACAAAGCTGGGAGCAAGAAATGGAAGACTAGTATATTGACTGATAAATAGTGGTCCAGTAAACAACAGCATTGTGCTGAAACTAACAAGTTGAAATTAACAAGAATAAATAGAAAGCCTTGCATTTAGTTTCAAAAATTTGGTAGCATAATTACAGAATAGGAGAAAGCTGTAATATCTAGATTCAAAAACAGTCTTGCCGACTTTTTAATTAACCTACGCTGTCAGTTAATATCTTAAAATATTCCGGGGGGACCAGGCACCATGTAAGGCACCATGGGACCTTACCACCTGATGCACCTGCAAACGCAAATCTGTTGGTCTTCAATGTGCAGCTGGAGGGAGAAAATAAGCCTACTTCATAGATACCATCAGGAGGGGACACAACGCTCTAAGAAGGTCATATTTGATAAAACAGCCTGTAGAAGAGGGAGACTAGAATGGTGAGTGACAGAGAAACCAGGCTATACAGAAATATTGGGTGACCACAGGATGTTTAGTCTAAAGAAGAAAAGATTATAGGACTTTGATGGCTGTTTTCCAGCCTTTGGAGAGTTGTTGTGTGACTGCAGGGGAGCCTTAGGACTTCTTTTGAGTTATTTCAGTTGGACCAATGTGGTGAAAGTTAGAAAGGGGCAGATTCATGTTGATGTCTTAAAAGTTTTCCTGCCAACCTTGGGAAAGGCTGCCTCTAAAGGTCCCTCGCCCCATGAGCATTCCAGCAGAAGCCAGCTGGCCATCTGTTGTACATAGATTGCTTCCTTCTACAAAAGCTGTATTGTCAGTGACTAGAATGGATGATCTCTAAGGATTCCTCTGATGCCAATTTTTTTTTCATTTTTATTTTCCAAATTAAGTGGGAGGTAGCAGAACTTTTCATATACCTTCCTGAAGCCTTCAGACCTGCAAGAATTTTGCCAGCCCACAATTAATGAGTGTGTTTCTCCATCTTCCTCACTTTCACTGGCTAAAACAACCTTGATTTAGTGAACAGAATGCCATAGTAAATATATTCCAACCATTAAATTACACCATTGACCCACTTAGGATGAAACAGTTATTAAAATCTAAACTGTGTCTCCATTCATTCGCCAGTTGGACATGTAAATACCAGTGCTGACCAGAACATACAAGAAGGGGAAAATCTTGCCTCAAAGTGAGGTCAATGGTGAGAGGAAGTTGACAGACCAGAGCCTAAGAGCTGGAGCACATAGAAGCTTCCACACACTGTCTGCAGCTCAAGGCAGAATAATGACGCCCTGAGCTGTGCAAATGCCAGAGGAAGGGAGGTACCTCTCAGTTCCCTGGAGCTACCCTAATATTTACTGTGGTAGTGTCTCCCAAGTGTCATAGTTAAAGCCACCATCTTTGGAACACCTGCTATGTTTTTAGGTGAGCCCAGATGTCATCATACAGCTAAGAAGAGAAACCATTACCACGTTCTCAACTGGCCATTTCTGTTGTTCCCTTCTGACCAAGGGATACTTTGCCCAGAAGATTGCCTTTAATGCAACAAAATGTACAAAAGGGAAAATGCCAGAGCCAATTCCCTTTTTCCAACTCAATTAAGAACCCACCCTCTATTGTGTTTAGACACCCAGTACACCCAAAGGCTAAGGATGTTTCTGTACAACATGTTTGTATTATGTACATTCATATTATGTGTTAGATGCTTTCTAGAGGGAAAGACCAATTAAATACTTCTGTGTCAGTAAGTTGCTGTCACCGCAAACTGTGAATTTACCTCTTTATTTTTTGCTAAATGACATCATTTTGACATCATGTTAATTTTCCTGGAGAATCACTGTTTAGTTTAAAAGGGGGAAGTTTTACTGCTTTAATATTGACATATGTTCACAAACATACATACAAGCACAGTTTTTATTATTACCATTAACTAGAAGTCTTATTACAGTGAGACAAGATATCTTGTTTTTAAGTTGAAGTACCTAAATAATCTGAAAGTTATTTTGCATTATACTAACAGCCACTTAGAAAAATGTGGTTAAAACATAGAGTTAAACTAAAAGATAAAATAAGTTGTATGATTGCAGAGTTACAGTGACTTTACGAGATTTCAAATAGTTACTGATAACAATGCTTTTATACAGTGAGCAGTAATAGTAACATATTAATGTCTGGTATCTTTGTCAAGCTAAGGAATCATAATTACAGGGCTGAGCACCATGGTTCATGCCTGTGATTTCTTCACTTCGGGAGCCCGAAACAAGAGGATCACTTGAGTCTAGGAAACCAGCCTGGGCAACATAGTGAGGCCTTGTCTCTAAAGAAAAAAAAACAATCAAAAATTGTCCAGGTGTGGTGGTGTCTGTGGTCTCAGCTACTCCAGAGGCTGAGGTGAGAGAATCGCTTGATCCTGGGAAGTTGAGGCTGCATTGAGCTGTGATCATGCCACCGCACTATAGCCTGAGCAACTAAGAAGACCTCATCTCAAAAAATAAAAAAGAACCATAATTATGAAGAGGGGAAATGTAATGTAGGTATATAGGTGTTATGTGTGTAAAAGCATAATGAGAAGCACCATTATTTCTCGTGAAGGCAAGTGCCTTCTACTAAACCAGTGACAAGGAGGGTGCTGGGCAGCGAGTGATGTTAATGGTGATAACCAAGAGGAAAATGTCAGAGCCAATTCCCTTTTTCCAGCTCACTTAAGAACTCACCCACCATTATGTCTAGACACTCAGTACACCCAAAGGCTAAGGTTGCTTCCGTACAATATATTCAATAAACCATTCCAAGGTAGACTTCTTTTTACTTGTAAAAAGAGAAACATTTTGCAGATGAGTTATGTTTGATTCATCTCCATCAATCAATTTTAAGCCAAATGAATAAACCATTTTAACACAAGATGAATGAAGAGGCATCCATGAAGTAATACCAATACACCAGCTGCATTGAATATGTTTAAGCTTCACTGCTACCTTACCAAGTAGTTACTCTTACTATTCTGCTTTAACAGAGGAAGAAACTAAAGTGCAAAGGGTTTCAAGGAATTTGTCCACGATCATATGGCTAAGAATTGGCAGAGGAGGGATATGAACTCACCTTGGCTGTTGCCAAATCCAAGTACTTGATAATTAGGCTATACCACTTCCCAAGTAATGTTATATAGGTAAAATTAATCATGCGCCTACTGTGTGCCACGGACTGTGTTAAGCCTTTTATATACATTAGCATATTAACTTTGACAGTTGAGACATTTGGAGACAGGTAAGAGGGATAACAAAAGAACCACTAGGTCAACTGTCCCATGTGTCTTTGGCATACTGCCCTAGCTTGGATATAATCTCTGTGTTACTTGAAATTGCAAGATTTTAGCAAAAAGAAGTCATTTGATTATTTCTTCCTTGCAGAGGTGGAATGGTGCAAACCAGTGAGCAGTATGAATTTGTGCACCACGCTCTGTGCCTGTATGAGAGCAGACTTTCAGCAGAGACTGTCCAGTGAGTCACTGAAGACTGGTCAGACCATCCATCTCTTGGGGTGATTAATCAAATTACTCACCCAAGGCTTCTAGAAGGGGCTTCCTGCAATGGAGGGAAGGAGAAGCTCTGAAGCCAACGTATGGTATGGATGTGGAAGACTGGGCAACATATTAAAGATTGCCAGCTCCTTATGTACATGAATGCATTCGTAAGCATCCCCCAAATTATTTTGAAGGTTTTTTGATGGTGAAGGTATGATAGGTTTCTTACACAGCCTAAGGCAGATTTTGTTTTCTCTGTACTGACTCTATCTGCCACACAGAATGTATGTATTTAATATTCAGTGATATATGTCATCAGGTGATGACTGGATGAGCTGCTGAAGACATTCGTATTATGTGTTAGATGCTTTAATGTTTGCAAAATCTGTCTTGTGAATGGACTGTCAGCTGTTAAACTGTTCCCGTTTTTAAGTGCTATTACCTTTCTCAGTTACAAGAATCTTGCTGCTAAAGTTGCAAGTGATTGATAATGGATTTTTAACAAAATAAGTCTTTGTTTTTGAAAAACAAAAATCAAAAGCAGTAACTATTTTATATGGAAATGTGTCTTGATAATATTACCTATTAAACGTGTATTTATAGTACCTCCTATCAAACAATTACAGAGCACAATGATTGTCATTGGGTATATATGTATTTACTCTCCATTATTGGGCATAGAGGTGGCTTCTGCTCCAGAACTCTATCCACTATATTTCTATACCGTGAGTCATTTTACTTTCAAAGGAAAAATTTGTAGCAACTATGAAGTATCAAGAATTTTAAATACTTGTCTCTCTTTTGCTAAGAAGGGATTTTTGAACATGCTGTCTACCTGGAATCTCTCTCTCAACAAAAGGCATATGCCTCCAGGAATGATATAACCTGTCCCATTTTCAGAAGTTCCTTATAAGGACATTTCCATGTACGTCCTTAACATTTCTGAAAGGTTTCAATCTTCAAGAAGCAAAAAAAAATTTAACAACCCACAGCAAACACTAGCTGTTCTGCTTAAATAAGAATTTTTAATGCAGCAATGTTGACTTTGTTTCATACTGCCAATAAACTCTTAATACTAACGACTGAGTAAAGCATATTCTTTTTTTTTTCTTTTTTTTTTTTTTTTTCCTATTTGGAAAGAGGTCATCATCTGTTTGGGGAAGACCTAAGTAGATAGCGTGATGGATTTAATTTTAGTGTCTGCATCTCCCCAGTGGCGATGATGATCTCAAAATGTAACATTGTCATCACTTGAGAGATAATGATCTAGACGTACCATCATTATGTGGTTTTCCTCAGTAGACTTGCAGTGTTTCATTATACAAACAGTACATGTTTATATTTTTATATCACTTATCATAGACCCTCATGAATTACATGGCTTATGTTTATTCAGCAGAATCACATCACCTGAAGAGATGTAATGTTTCAGAAACATTCAATTACCTAAGATTACAATTCCTTTCTTTCTTCTTGAGGTTAAGAAGTAGTCACACGCCGAAAGAAAGGTAGGTGAGGTCTTAATGAGATTTACTCTGCTCTTGAAGGCTGGAATATTTTCTACATAAAAAAAGAGAGGTAATCATAATCCCTTCTTTCTAAGGAAACAGACAAAAGGACACTGGTATAAAACTTCCCCAAACAATTCAATAGGAGGAAGTGCTCGTCACTGACTTTTCCCCCCACCATGAAGGCACATTTCCTTCCTAGTCTTTGCTTCTCTTATCTGGGAGAATTTTTTTTTCCCAAGCGAAGCATGAACAGTTGCTAATTGGAAAATGGAGGCTGAATTTTACATGGTGATTCTTACCTGCTTGATCTTCAGAAACTCAGGTGAGTGGGTCTGCCTCAGTTTCCTGAGGCATTTCTTCCAGATCTGGCTGAGGAGTCTCCGGTCTTTGAAAAGTGTCTGAAATAAGGTGAAAGGAGCTAGGTCTCCATGGCAGTTTAGCCAAAGATGATGAAGAGGGGGAATAAAAGGAGCCAGCTATGCCCACACTGCTAAGATTTCTCTCCAAAAAAAAAAAAAAAATTAAACGTTCTCCTTCCGTCCTCCAAATGCCTCAGGCAACCCCTGAAATGACACATTTACAGCAGAGAGTAAAGAACCCTGAGGAAAAGTTTGAATTATTATATAATAGTCTGTGGCATTCCCTAAGCCTTTTTTCAACCCGGTTATAGTTTTATTTTCTTTTGTGTTACAGAAAGAAAATGGAAGAAATATGATTAAAGGGGATGAGGAAATGTGTGTTTTATTTGGAAGTTGTCATTTGGGAGGGCTGAACATTTTCATGAGAGAGCTGGGCATTTTAAGTAAAACCTCATTGAAAATGGTTTCTGAGCCAGAATATCTTACTCTTTAGTACTGATGTTTAGCAATTGGATGTTTAATTTTCTTACATTGAAAAATGATGATTTTTTTTAAAAATCTGTTAGGATTTGAGAGAAAACTGTAGATACCGTCACAAAACAGAGAAATGCTCCTCTGCATGACTAAAGGAAATTTAGTTTGTGATAATCAGTACTTTCATTGGCTGCAATTAGCTAGGAGGTTGTGCTTGGAGGAGTGGGAAAATTTGCCTTATTTTTGATCAATGTATGCAATTTTTAAAAATTGTTATTCAAACTATAATTGGTATACAAATACTTATTGCAATGTGAATTTAAAGACTGGAAAGGGGGTACTTTTTTAAGGCAGGGGAGGCAGGTTACACGGAAAGTATTAAATCAAATGGTTAAAAAGGGAGCCGAGCATTTCATAACTTCAGCATATCTAACCAGGCTAAAATGTACTATATACTTCAGATGGTTTTGTTTGTTTCCAAGCTTCCTTTCATTTTCCGGTAAGGGGTGTGTAGCTTTTCCCTAAAGCCTGTGAAAAAAAAAAAAAAAAAAAAAAAAAAAAAAAAAAAAAAAAAAAAAAAAAAAAAAAAAAAGATGGGGAGTTAAAGTGTGACATATGGACATTTTACATTGTCAGCTTTGGGATTTTAAATCGCATATGTTAAATATGAGAATATTCACTTGAAATGATAGCAATAACAACTATAAGTAAAACTAGTGATTTTATTAGCTCATTTGTGGGTGGGTTCTTCCATTTTCTAATGGGCCTCATAATTTGCTACCTAGTGTTATATGAGCTTTTCATCTTCCAGGAGGTTTTCAGATTGTCCATGTCCAGGAACAACAGTGTCTTTTCAAAAATGAGAAAGTGGTCATGGGCTCATGCAATAGGACCATCCAGAACCAGCAGTGGATGTGGACTGAGGATGAAAAGCTCCTTCACGTGAAATCTGCTCAGTGCTTGGCCATCTCCAACTCCTCTCACGGCCCCTCCCGCCCAGTCATCTTAGCCCGTTGTTCCCAGGCACCCCGATGGACCTGCTATGATCAGGAAGTCTTCCTTGAGGTAGAAAATGCCTCTTTCTTTCTCCAGAAACAAAACTTCAGAGTAGTAGTGGTCAAGAATGCCTGGAAATGGCTCCATAGCTGGATGAAAATAGACGTCAACAAGGAAGGAAAACTGGTCAATGAAAGCCTCTGTTTAAAAAAAGGTGAGCTATTCCTTTCAGAACAAATCCTGAAAGTCCATCTACTAAATATCTCGTGGTTTTGTTGTTGTTGTTGTTGTTGTGGTTGTTGTTTTGACATGCAAGGCAAGTCCACGTGCCCCAACATACTTCCTATGGAAGATTCATAAGCTAATGGAGATGGATGGTGAGGTGTCCAATGATGGAAAACTTCATTACCCTCATTAAAATAAGCCAAAATTTTCTCTTTCTATTGCTTGCTCTTCCTTCCCTTCTTTCCTTGCTTCTTTTACTAATTCAACAAATATTTCATGAGCCTCTCTTTTCTTTAAATATGGCTAAGCACTGTTAGATGTAGGATTATGGATCTAGGCATATCACAGAATATATATGTAATGACTAAAGTCAGTAATCAGGAAATTATTAGATTTTGTTAACATAGGCACTTCTATTTGCCAATTATAAGGAATTATTAGAACATTAGAATGGTGCTTGATAAGACTGGGATAAAGTGTTTTTGCAAATCTTTTGTATTGTTGTTTAGGGGTAGATATCTTTTGAAGGTAACATGCTTTTGAAATGTTAAGACCATTGCAATGGGCAGCCATGGATTTTTCTAATTTATTGACCATTCATGGTTATAAGATAGATGATGGACACATGTAAAAACTTGTTTTACACATGCGCAAACTCCTGGTGCAGGACACAGTTCAGTCCTGAGCTGGGAATTTTTGCTTGTGAAATATATAGGTAATTTAATCTTCTCTTGAAGTTAATCATGTTATTGTGTATTTACTCTTCTATTAGAAGTTTGCTTTAGGAAGTCATGAAAGATAAAACTGATGAATCACAATATATTAGGCACCAGTGAACTTTACAAAGCATGGGAAAAATTATCAAGGAATGAAGCACCTCACCAATTTGTCAGGGTTAAGTAAATTGTCCCAGATAAATTAACAGCAGATCTATTATTAGAGCCTAAGTTTTTTAACTCTTTGTTTAGTGTACATGCCACTATACAAAAGGTTCCCAAATGCTTGACCACAGATTTGTCCCAATCGCCTGGGGTAGAAAAGGGAGGGCTTACTAAAGATACACATTCCTGCAGCGAATGCATGCTGGGCTTCATTCCTAGGTGATGGGTTGATAGGTGCAACAAAGCACCCGGCACACATTTTCTTATGTAACAAACCTGCACACCCGGCACATGTAGCCCAGAACTAAAAATAAAAATTAAAGAAATACATGTACATTCCCAAGATTCTTTCCCACCATTTTTTCCTCTACAGTGACCTCCAAGATTTCTGTTTCAAGAAATCTGGATTTGTGCATAATACTTAGTATTTATTAATCACCAGATAATTTTGATCCATAATCCTATAGCCAGATCAGCATCCAATGTATCCTAAAGTCTTTTCCTTAGGTGTCGACTTTTGAGGCTTATATTAGTCTTTCTACCATGGTAATCTTTGGACAATTTTTTGTCACTCATTCATTCTATAAGTTAAAACAAGCATTTAACTAGATGCCAGTTGAATGTTTTATGCCTTTCTACAATAAGCAGTGTGCTTTGATACAATAAAAGTTGAGAGTTACAGTTTCTGTTCTTATATCCTTTCTGCCTATGAGAATAAGATTAAAAAATCAATGAGAAAATTTAACTTTACCAGAAAATATTCAGCATATAGCACCAATTTGTACAGGACCTTTCCGATGGTTCATCAAGGCCTGTCCTAAATAATATAGAAACATAATTATAACTATTACATTTGTACTGTTACGCACAAGGAGTGAGATTCATCCCCAAACCCTAATCAAGCCTTATTTAACATAAAATTATTTAGTTGGAACTTAAAAAAAAAAAAAAGTTCTTTGTAGATTCTGGATATTAGCCCTTTGTCAGATGGCTAGGTTGCAAAAATTTTTTCCCATTCTGTTGGTTGCCCGTTCACTCTAATGGTAGTCTCTGGCTGTGCAGAAGCTCTTTAGTTTAATTAGATCCCATTTGTCTATTTTGGCTTTTGTTGCCAGTGCTTTTGGTGTTTTAGTCATGAAGTCTTTGCCCGTGCCTACCATGGCATGTGTATACCTATGTAGCAAACCTGCACATTCTGTACATGGACTCCAGAACTAAAAGTATAATACAAAAAAAAAAGTCTAATTTATAAGGAAAAAAAGTAGATATGGACTCAGTGGTGAGTTATTCAACATAATAGATAATTCATAGAAAAACTACCTCCTGTGACGTTCATACAAATATGTCCAGTAATGAACTTCAAAAATAAAGTACCTAGAATAAGCCATTTACAATTAACCATTGAACAATGCTGTATTCAAAACATGCCTGATAATATGTGTTGGGGGAAGAGATGGATTTCTAGAAAAAGCAGATGTTAAAATTTGCACAATTGTGGTAAAAATACACTCTTATATTTGAGTATACATAAGTATAATATATACTTTTGCTTTAACACAATTACAAGCTAACAGACACATTTTTCTGCTGCATCCTAAATTTGTCACTTTGTTTTTGTTTTTAGAAACAAAGTCTTGCTC